CCCCCCCCCCCCTCCCCCCCCCAGACCGACCATTCCGGCCAAGTACGTGATGGGAGCCATGACCAAGCGCCTCGCCAGCCCAGTCTCCGCCTCCTTCAAAACAGACGAGACATGAAACATGAAACATGAAGCCCAAGGTCGATGGCACATCGAAGATGACGACAACCAACGGTACGGCGGACTGTTGTTTCTTGCGACCGAAAATCGCAATCCCGCTGCCTTCACAACGAAGCAGTTTCATCATGTATATGTGCCCAACCTGTGTACATGTGCACTAGCGTAACGCCCGGTACGCGTGAACGGACTGCTGTCTATTATGGCGCAACATCGTAATCCGGCCGTCCTCCAAAGGTAGATAAAACCAGCTGTAACATCGAGTACGTAACATGCCGAATCTACGTACATCCGGTCGCCCCGGTGAACAGGTTGTCAACATTGTAACCTTTACGTTCTTGCTTCCCCAAGGATGTCAACCTTTCAACCTTGTGTAACTTTCTTGACTCTCCAGAGCGCGGGTTCGGTTCTCTCTGAGGTTCAAACTCGAAACTAAAGCTCCTCAGTAAACGCAAAAATTGGGACGAATTTTTCGTGAGCGACATGACAACAGGCAAAACACAACGGATCTCAGGCGTGCGATGACACAAGCACCCCATGCGGGACGGTGGAGTCTCCAGTGTTTACCCTTCACCTTCCACATGAACACCTGTATCATGTGGTATTTGCCATCATCGATGGGTATGTACCGTACAGCAAGTACACCAAACACGGCCGCAGCGTTCGTAGTAGACTCCACCATCTAGCCTACCACAATCGACGCAATCTACACTCCGTATTTGACGACAAACAAACACAGCAGTAGCATTTCCGACGAACACAGCTGTTACCACGATTTCGCTGCGCTCCAAAAGCTCTCCAGACGAAACCATGTGCGACATCGCAAGGTCTAACCCAGGAGCAACCACGCCTCCCCAGTCCAGCGAGCTCGTCACCAAAACCTTGGAGTCGAGGGACAAGCAAGCCGCTTTCTCGAAGGCGTGGGCTATCACCCTCGACCAGAACTCGACCATCTCATCTCGGGCATCAACATCCCCCGGGGCGACATGGGATGTCAGGAACTCCATCCTTTCTTCGTCTCCCAAGTCGGCGGCCAGAGGGCATGCTGGTGCCAATTCCGCGGCGGCGCCCGACACGGCGCAAATTGGACAATAGGACGGCATACTTGCGCTTTATTGCTTGTGCACCGGACACTCTCAGTTGTAGCAGACTCAGACACACCTCGCTCACGGGGAATCTCCGTTGGTCTCAACGCTGCTAAAATGAGCCAAATATATATTTCAAATTGTAGCGAAGACAGCACTTGATGGCTAGTCTCACGCTAACATGTACCTAGAGGCCTAACGGTTGTCTCTCAGACCGTGAGACTTCCCCGCGGCGGTACGGCGGCAGCGCTGCAATGAGTGTGCAAAGCAGTAAGGTGCTTGAGTACTCCCTCACACAGCACCAGCGGAAAAGCGAAACACGCCGCATCTTTGTAGATGTGGAGTTGGTAGATGCGGAGTTCGTATCGACTGAGGTGTGTCAGACCGTTACACTTTCCTCCGCAAAAGAGGGATTCAATCTATGGTCCATGGCCTTGAAAAAAAAGTCATGGACCATAGGATTCAATAGATAAGAGCTGGCTCACATGCGGTACGTTGCTGCATTGGCCACCACAGATTGAACGGTGGAGCACAACGCGGTGAGTATGCTACCCTTGCCTCCATGGTCTATTTGCCAGCATCAACGCCGCAGAATGTCTATACCAATAGTGAACGAGGTCGCGCTGGCCTATCGTGTGTCAGCTATCGGACCTTCAAGCGGTGGTGCAGCAGCACTGCTGTAGTCAAAGCTGACACCGCACGCGTGTCCATGTAGAGGCTTACAGCACCACACCTTGACGTGTAGGGCTTACACCATACAGTATGTTGACGAAGTAGGAGTCCAGTAGGATACCAATGTATCACCACTACCCGTCCTTGTGACACAATATTTTCAACGTGCTCTGTACACATGTGCGACCATGTCCGTTTTCTTGATAGCACAAACGATGGAGTCCAAAGGCAGCTTTGACGAAGGAAAACGCGAGGGGAAACACGCCGATGAAAAGGGCTACGATGATTGGGATGACGGTGGGAAAGAGATTGACAGCGACGACGAGGTGAGTTGCAGGTCACGTTGTTGCGTCGAGACAGGGGAACAATCCGCACATTGTACGGTGGTAGTCCGCAAGAGGGGACGTTCAAAGTTCAATATATTTTCAACCCGACCGTCTCGGATTCCAGAACTAAACGATGGAGCTTTCGGCCTTACACGATACAACCTTTTTCTTTCGGAAACACATAACATGGCATAGATAGACCGCGCCCATTATCTAGTCCGTGCACAACAATTTGTCCAATTACGTTTTGTGCGATAACTTCGTTCGTTTGGAAAATGAAATGGAACGTGAAACAACGATAGTCGTGACTGCCTCGTCGAGACACGTCGATAGCTAGCTGCAGAGTTATTTTTGGCGATATGCAACATTTTTGGCAAAAATCATACACGGAGCCCCCCAAACAAGACATACCTCGCTATGCATTCACGGAACCCCCTAACCGTGCCCCCACAGAGCCCTCTTGCCCTCTACCACCTGCTCTAAATACACCACGACACCCCCTGTTTCCGNAGTCCGTGCACAACAATTTGTCCAATTACGTTTTGTGCGATAACTTCGTTCGTTTGGAAAATGAAATGGAACGTGAAACAACGATAGTCGTGACTGCCTCGTCGAGACACGTCGATAGCTAGCTGCAGAGTTATTTTTGGCGATATGCAACATTTTTGGCAAAAATCATACACGGAGCCCCCCAAACAAGACATACCTCGCTATGCATTCACGGAACCCCCTAACCGTGCCCCCACAGAGCCCTCTTGCCCTCTACCACCTGCTCTAAATACACCACGACACCCCCTGTTTCCGTTTGTACAGATACTATACCACGCTTGCTCGACAACACCCTCGAAGGTCAAGCACGCCAATGTATTCAAGTGAACGAATCGCCACACTCCGCACAGTAGTCTATACACGTAAAAAAAAAAAACATCACTACACTATACGTCCATCAAATCGGCGCTGTTGTGGCCGTCGGAGAGCGCATCATCAGCGCCGCGTGACGGAAGATCATGTTACTGCGCCGGCTTCGGTTTCTTCGGAACCGCCCGGCCATCGGCTCCGCGCTTGCCGATTTTCTTCTTCTTAGGCCGTGCCATGGTGCTTGCTTGCTTGCGTGCGTGTCTCGTGTTGTTCGGGCCGCCACGTGTGCCAGTTTGTTGTGGGAGCGTCTTGCCCAACAACAAAAAAATCTCCGATAGCACGGCACGACAAAATGTCGAATATCTCGAGAACCAGAGTTTTCCCGGGAAAAACAAAAAATACCCATCTAGAGACTGATCAGAGGANCGTGCGTGTCTCGTGTTGTTCGGGCCGCCACGTGTGCCAGTTTGTTGTGGGAGCGTCTTGCCCAACAACAAAAAAATCTCCGATAGCACGGCACGACAAAATGTCGAATATCTCGAGAACCAGAGTTTTCCCGGGAAAAACAAAAAATACCCATCTAGAGACTGATCAGAGGAAGGAATCGTTTGCCGCTGTTTATTTTGGAATCGGTTGGTCAGTTGTTGTGCTGTAAACGAAACAACTTGACCCTCTAGATCCAGTTTTTCCTGGATATCTCCTTCAATTCCAAGAGTTGGAAAAAATTAAAAAATACCCATCTAGAGACTGATCAGAGGAAGGAATCGTTTGCCGCTGTTTATTTTGGAATCGGTTGGTCAGTTGTTGTGCTGTAAACGAAACAACTTGACCCTCTAGATCCAGTTTTTCCTGGATATCTCCTTCAATTCCAAGAGTTGGAAAAAATTAAAAAATACCCATCTGCGGAATTCCGAGATCTGTCCAAATCCGTTGAGTTTTTGTGAATCGGCAAAAAACTCCACCCCCTGTAAACGAAACAACTTGACCCTCTAGATCCAGTTTTTCCTGGATATCTCCTTCAATTCCAAGAGTTGGAAAAAATTAAAAAATACCCATCTGCGGAATTCCGAGATCTGTCCAAATCCGTTGAGTTTTTGTGAATCGGCAAAAAACTCCACCCCCTGTAAACGAAACAAGTTTTTCCGTTTTTTCGGAAGTAAAAAGTCAAGGAAAAGAAAAGAATGAAAAAACTCTCCGTCACGCCCTGCGCCTGGAAACAGGGCGTTTGTCGGGACATTCAGATTTTCGAACAACCACGTGTGTGCAGAGAAAAGTTGCACTTTGGGCATGGGAAATTATTGGACAAATTGTTGTGCACGGACCGTAGATGAATCTCAGAAGGGGGTTGTTCAGCGGTTATTAAGTTGCGTCTGTTGTTCGAGTCCCTGTACACTGATTCTCCACGATGACAGCTGCCACCCGGAGTGAACCTTCCTTCAGGAGAATTTGACGCAACTTTATGTTTGGAGATGACCTCCAGCTGATACGATCTATCCGCCACTATGGTGGTATCGACTCGTGCCCACCGCTGCGTTGATAGGTGGAGGCGGAATACCAAGCGGCACTAAATAAGGGCAATGTCGGCAAGGTAGCCGTCTCCAAAGATCCACAAGCCAAATCAATCGTCAAAGGATTCAGAATGTAAGACAGAAAGAAAGAGAGGAAGGGAGGGAGGGAGGGGGGGAGAGAGGTGAGGGGGCGGGGGAGAAACATAACTTGCGGTTTCTTGTCGGATGATGCTTCTTTGACTCAAATGAAGGTCAGTAGCCGTAAACGTAAGTATTGTTCAATGGCGGCATGCCTTAACGGATTTTCGGCAGTGTTCGGTGGGGTGAATCGTCCGCAAATCTAACCGATCGTGAAGGTACTCTTTTATCATCCTCCTACTATGTATCCCGCACAACTTCTACCTAGAAACAGCGATATTCATCATGCTAGACTGGAGATTGCTTTCCGCCCATCGGCGTGGTATGAAAAGCCATGATCCAGAAGTTGGCGACTAGTTGCCTTCGGGCATAGAACCGTCCAAAAATGCACTGAGTACGTATGGGCGGGAGGATGTTTGCAAGTCTACACTAAACCAATTCATAAGATATAATATATTGAAGATTCGCGGAAACAAGGTCGCAGAGAGAGAGAGAGAGAGAGAGAGAGAGAGAGAGAGAGAGAGAGAGAGAAGTACTAACCCTTGAGAGGCCCAGCCTCGACTACTTACACCTCTACATGCATCGATCAGTGGATGCGTGCGATCTGATTCTTGTCATCATTTCCGTGGCGGGAACGCAGTTGAACTGATCTGGAAACTTGACTGATGCTCAGCGCTGGTCTGCATAGTAGTCTAACTGCAAAATCCGACTGCAGAACATGGACACTCATCACATTTCCATCCTGCCATTCGGACAGAAATTGGATGGATATGCGAGACGCCGACACAGGTCGCCTCTTGTGGGAGTCGGGAGAGTGGTGAGTTGTAAAAACTCACGACGCAAGGCTGTTCCATACACGACGGTACTGCCACAGTTCTTCCTACATGTGCCGGGAAAAGGGTATTGATGGGGAGATTCTATGGGGAAGCGCAGATATTTATCGATGAACTGGTCTGGAGTTGCTCAACATAGGAATCATGCGCCAAGGGGCTTCACAAACGAGATCCGTTGTTTGTGGGCAGGTCTCAACGACTGTTCGGCGTTCTCCAACCTTAACTGAGACTTTTTTCTATCCCAACAACTATGAACGTTCACCATGTGTTTTCCGTAATCGTCTCGTCATCGCCCGCGGGCGTGGAGTCGATACAAGAAAAAACGGAGCTGCTGGTGCTCCTGCGGTTTGGGTGGGAGTTCCGGCACACAAGCCTCCGCGCACTTCATTAAACGTGCTATCTTGGGGCATTTGGATCGATGATTTGTCTGGATGTCCCCCAAAGTGCTCAGGACGATCGTCTCATCGGGTATGAACTAAACGAGCTCAGTTTTGTACCACCCGCTTCCGATCCGAAAGGGGCAAGGACATGTATCACCACGAGCTGAAGGCGACCGTCCCCCGACGAATCCTGGAATGCTCTGCCGTGTCAAGGGAGATTAACTTCACGTCCCAGGGAGAGATACGCCAGTTTCGGCTAGAGCAGAGAGTGTTCCTGGCCGGGGCGTGCATCGAAGGTGGGGTTGCTTGCAAAACACTGTTCGTGATCGTGTTTCATTCGGGGCGTCGTTATTAGTGTCTGCCCCCATGAAGACATGGCTTGTTGGAGACGGGTTTCTCGTTTCCTTTCCAACATAAAGATCGATGCTGTCTATATCGATACAGCATCGCAAGGAGATTCCCTCATGAATCTGCTGCTACATCAGCAGTGGTGCAGGGGTACTTACTACGGGGGATCAGGTTGCAATTTGTTTTCGTCACAGTTCTGCGTTGCGACTGCCTGTTTGATGAGCCCAAGCTCGACGAGTTTCCCCTCGACCTTGCAGTGGTGTAAGCTCCACAAGTGAATTGTACACAGAACGGTTCATGATGCCGTTGAGTTTTCCTCGTGTCCCGCCCGCAGAATGGTTTTTTGACTTTGGCTTTGTCATTCCGGGATCAACGAACTCCTGGCAACAAACGATCGAGTCGGCCGGAGAGGATCGAATGCTAGCTGCAGAAGACCTGAGGTATGACGCCGCTTTCTTACTGCTAGCCGGCTTGTTAGTATCTCTAGGCTATGCCTCAGAGAAACGAACCGTGGCGTCATGTCGATATTTTCAGTGCCATGAAAAAACACGCAAAACCCGACTCCGTATTCAGCCCCGATGCCGTTGGTACGTTACGTCTGTTTCTCAACATCATGTTGTATGCAGCGGAAGGATTACGATCGAGACAACGTTTTTAGACGGAAGGACGATGCTGTTCAAGACCCTCGTCAGAATATTCTACGAATGAACCAGTAAACACACGGCCACACACTTGGCCACGCACTTGGCCACAAGAGAGATTCCGCCTGCTGGGAGGGAGCGCGAGGTCACACGGAATGGGTTTCTCTGAGACCGGACGAAAATCGATATACCCCATGCTGAAGATCGACCGGATGATTTGATTGGAACTATGTACATGTCGAAGTGGCTGACCCAAACATAGTACCGGTAGTGGATTGCTCGAGCTGGAAGATACCCTTCATTCAGTTGAATCATGCGTCGCGGGAAATCAGCAGGCAGTCATCGTGAAGACGAACGGAGGAAGACGGGGCCTTTGGAAATAGAGGTGATACCCAAGTGAGAGTCAGACCACAAGTTGTTTTTTATTGAGCTACCTTAACGTGCCGTGTTGATGTGTGTACAACGCTTGGTGGTGAAGGTGTAGAGGAGAATATGTAATCAATGCACAACTTCCTCCAGTCGGGGGACAGGTAGGCTACACGTAGTGGTGTACCATGGCTTAAAAAAAGTTGACGAAAGTCATTGTTTCTAGGGTGCAGAGACAGAGGGAAGAGAGTATTGCACCCTTCTTCTCGCATCACATTTCGAGGGCAAAGCACCGCAGGAGGGGTGGGTTGGGTAGCGGGCCTCAGGAAGAGGAACCGTTCTGCGCGACCACGGGTTGGAGTAAACAGCACAAATGCTGTAAGCGCTGATTTGAAGTAAAGACAAAAAAAGAAAAGAAAAAGACGCCGTCCACTCCAAGGCGGGACAGTCACATCGCCTGCCGGTTGGCAACACAACAGACACGGATCCACTCCACCAAAGACGGCCAACGGGTACACTAGTACGTACCGCGATTTGAGGAGGCGTCGAGCAACACAGCCACGTGCCCACCCCTCTCGAGAGAGAAACAGGGAACGAAGCACAGGAAACACGACGTCAATGTGCACCCGGGGCGACCTTTCTGCACTATTAGAGGCCGCTTGCCCCAGGGCGGAACGGTTACAACACAGTTTTTTTTGTCTGCGGGTGGCAACAGAGCTATTGTAGACACAAACTCAAAACATCGAAGACAGATTCAATGTGGAATCCGCACCACATATCTTGGGAAGAACTCGAGCCATGCAGCTAGTATTCTCACCCCCTCAGCAAGAAGCAGGGGATTAAAGGACAGGCTACACGACGTCATACGTGGACCCGGGGCGAGCTATCTGCACCTTCCTATTGCACCAAGTGCCAACGCAGATGCTCTTGCCGTGGATGATTTGTTGACCAAGATGAGCAACTCTCAAGCCTTCGACCACAACATTCGGCGGTGATTCTCCCAGCCGCCCCGCGTTCAACTACAGCCTCACCCTGAGCTTTCAGCAGCAACATCGACCGTTCTAACACGAATGAAACACCCTCTACAAGAAACTTGGCAACCGAGCCGTTGGGCGATAGCTGTCACAAGCGTCGGTTCACCCTTCCAAGATCTCTTACAACGTCACCACATACTTCCAGCGAACCACGGTCAAAGCCACCCTGTCGCTTGCATTTGAGTAACCTCCAACACCGTCGAGAATGGCACCACATGACAAAAAACCAAGGCACGGACAGAAAGGACCACAAACCAATATCTACAAAAGACAACATTTGCACCTCGGTAGGCCAACTTGTGCCACGAGCCCCAACCTTCGGAAAGTACTCGCACGCGTAGCCCAACAAACAATCTTCATAACTAAGGGTACGTCTCCCCCTACTGCCATGGGTAGCTATGTAGCAACCAATCTTGACGCGCATCGCATAACTCATTACCAATCACAGACACCGAAACTGTTAAAATACTACCAGTAGCGTACGCACGAGGCGCGTGTCGCCGCCATGTCGACCCTCCACCACCTCCGAACCTTACCAAGGAGCTGCAGCGCTGATGCACACCGGGACGTGGTTGGCGATGCCGTGCGAAAGCACGATGCTCCCCCTGCTGCTCGCCCCCCATACCGATGCCGATCGCGTCTGGTAACACTGCAAAACACAACGCGGTTCCCTTTGAGGAAGCCAAACAGTCCCCACGGAAGGCCACTACGCGATTAGATCAGTTCCGTCTTGAGGACGGCTCGTTCTGTATTGAGACGCGGAAGCTGAAATTTTCACCGAGGTTCCTACGCAGAGGGAGTGACGAAGAGCGCCAGCCCTCCGCGCTCGCTCCTCTTGCCACCGCCGAGCTATCAAAACATCTCCGAAAGGAAGAGTTCTTCCAAAAAAGTGTTCAGGGTAGCGCGTTTGCTGCTGCTCAATACTGCAGCCCGAACTCAGTTTTGTCGAGGCTGATGCACGAGTCCCTGGCGTGTCCGTGGATGCCTTCCCTCAGCAGCGCTACAAGTCTCGACACGTTCGACGTGTACGTGCCAACAAACAAGCTGCCGGCCGCCAACATCTTCAGGTCGGCGAACACCATCACAAACCCTTGGTAGCCCTGTCGGGAAGGGGGTGGGATCCGCACAAGGTGCCCACCGTCACGCACTCGACAAGCCAAGAGTTTTTGGTAATCTATATCCCCATCCCTCGAGCGCTGGATGTAAAGGCATCGTAGATGCCATCATTGCCTTTTGCCATCTGTAGCACCCAGTACGTTTGTTCGAAAGCATATGCTCCTTTATTTAGGCGACTATATGCTCTTATTGTGGACTCGACAAAATGCCCAAACCAATAAATTATATTCGTATTTTTTGCCAACTATGCTAGATTCGGCCAAGCATGTTTGATTCATGCCCAAAATTTCGATATGCTTTATGCTTTTTGACAACCGAGCTATTGGGGAAGGCCAATCATTCAGCCATGAGCTCTCCGGACGTAAGCAGGCTCGACAGCCTCAACTGGGCTCCGAAATGGGCACCAGACCAGGGCTTTCTTCACCAGGAAAACTATTGGTGCTCAACAAGTGGTGGGCATGTTCCAAAGTTAAAAACGACTTCATTTCAACGCTCACTACCCAAACGTGATGAATCAGTACCGGCCTTCTCAGCGCGTCACGCTCTCAGCACAACCCTATCGTTTCAACCGTCACATGTCATACCTGAGACTTTGTGTGCGTAGTCACGGCGCCCCCACGAGCCCCACCAGATACCCACACGATGTCCTCGTCCAAGACGTTAGGGAAGTATTGTCGAGCAATGGCGCGGACCTCTTCGACGACCTTGTGGTCGTCAGACGCCACCCAAATGGCTTCGATGTCTTGTTTGTCTTGAGATGCTTTATTGTCGAAGAATCTCGCGGCCGCAGACAGATACTCCTGCCGTCAACGTCGCGACCAAAAACGAGTGGTAAACGCTTGCCCGAATGGACGGTGAGCTTGGAGAAGGTTTCCTCATCCGTGAAGGGATGTTTGGCATCTTTGTCTTTCTTCCGTGTTCGTGTCAAGGTTAGCGACATCTGCTTTGTTTCCGGCGATCCTGGCGATCTCCCACTGTCGAGGTTTTGATACTTGCGGCGAACATCAACGGGGAATGAATCCCGTCGTGGGTCCATTCGAAACAATTGCAGCATTTTTCTATCCAAGCTGTCAGTTTCTATGCTCCTGGAACATTTTTGTTTGTAGACAAAGGAAGGGGCAAGATCGAGGGCCTGCCTCAAGAGACGGCAGCTTGGTGCATGAAAAGAGCCTGCTCGGAGGCAGCACACTGTGATACTTACGTAGGTGCCGATACAGCCAGGGTCCGTACTCAATAACCTCTTAGCTTGGCCGAGACTCGGTTTTTATGTTGTCTATGGGGTATGTATCCCCGCAGCGACGATATAGGTTGTGGGGTAGGACTGAGCACCTGTTCTTACGGTCAAGTTCATAATATTGTTTTGGGTATTCTGAGGCTCAAGTTCGTAAGTACCAAGCCCTTAAGCGCGGGTCGGTTCTGCAGTACTGCTGGATCCGTCGCAATCGTTGGAACTTTTCCAGGCGGGTTACACCTGGATCGTCCGCATTCTCGTTGTTCGCTCATACGAAACGTCGTTGGAAGGTACACAAAAAAATCGCCTCTGTATCGTCCTCCTCTGACAGATTCAACTCGATGAACAACATTGCTCTGGTTGCGTAGACGAGTTCTTGGCTTAGCGCGAGGCGTTCGAACGAGAGCCGCGTCACTGTTTGGAAAAACTGTGAAACACCGTAATGGTAGCTCTTGAAGACTTCCCCCCCGTTTTTCAGCAGTTACGAAGACAAACCTCAATCGCGAACGCTACATCCGAACCGCGTGCTCTTGTTTGCACTGGTTTCTGTCCTACGGTTTTCACTACGGTGCAGCGTTGACCTTCATTCGTCAACTGCAAGCCTGGACACACATCGTCACCGTTCAGAGCGCGCCTCGCATACGGCCCACCTTAGTCTCCACTTTTTGCGCCTCGCCCTCCCCAACCTTGTCCCCCCTTCGGACGTGAAGCCCCACGAACGGCTTTCGTCTGAAAACGTCTAGGTCGGGCCGTTCGAGCGCTTTGCGCACGTCCTCTTGTAACCAGGGCGTCAAGTTCTTCCACAAAAGTCTCGCCATGACCTGCGTGTCGGGGGCGAATGAGTCTCTGAGGTGCTCTCTTCTCGGTGCTGAGTGCGCCGTTGGCAAGTCTTCGCACCCTGCATGCAGGAAGGAGAGTCTCAGCTTCCTTGTCGAGTCAACGTCGTCATGTCACCTCTAGATGTTCGTACCTTCGGCTCCTTTTGCATGGCCGGGACAACGCTCCTCAGTCTATATTTACGTTTTTAGGTCTCTGGGCGACATTTGTCGGTCCCAATTTCTAATTGGGTGTGGATCATACGGCAACGAAAGTACATGGAGCGCCCCCTACGGCCAGCGAAAGGCCAACGAGGACATCGTCCGGCCCACCCTACATGAGGACCCAGGGCCTGGGGACTACTATCGTGCATGACACAACCGCAACACCCCTTCGCAGCTAAACACAATCCTAGGGCCTCTGCCCTCGCGCAGGGTACGGCCAGCAACGAACACGAATGCCCCATAACAGCAACGGTCCTTTCGACAACCACTGCTGCCTCACCGACAGGGCCCCAAAGGTGTCCACCCCGTATTCCTTTAGCGCCTCCTCCTGTGCGCGCCAAGCCTGCTGGGTTCGGATGCGCTGCCAGTGCACCTTAGGGGCTTCCACGAGGTCTTCCTTTGACACCCCCTTCCTCGTCATAAAATGTTTCCACTCCTGCCACACGGAGGAAGGTTGCCCGATAAACACATGAGGTGCCGTTTCGGCAGGGTACCAGCCGATACACTGGGGGCGGTTCGATAACGTGTTCTAGAAGCCCACGGCGAGCATACATCTACCGTCTTGGGTGCCGAACGCGGACACTTTATATCAGCACTTTCTTTCGTCGCTCGCCTGCGAACGGTCTGGATTCGAGGGGTCAAGGCTGGCGGTCTTTCCTCGAGGCCTCCTCTCGCCCCGACTCAATCACAACGAGTCCCCAACGCCTCGCAGAACGGCGATTATCCTGTCTGGGAGTGTGTCTCTACGCCACTCTCATTTCACCGCAATTATGGCAGTACTTCACAAGCCGAGGACAAAACTTGTTTTAGCGGAAGTCAAGGTTCGTGGGTTCAAGTCCCGGCGCGGCGCACTTTCAGCAAAGCGTTTCGTCGTGTCTACACAAGGTGAGGCTAGATTTTTTGGGATGACGGAAGAGGAACAGTCAACCCTTCTGGCCAAAACATTAACGCGCGCACAGGCGGGGAACACTCTTCTGTGCGTTTCCCAGGATCGTAATATCCTTAGCAGACTTGGACAGATGGACACCTACAGGCTGAACTAAAGATACTGAGAGCATCCAATGAGGCGGTAGAGGAAAACAAGGGATTCTGCATGCTCTGCACTTCGTATCTCGACCTTTTCGGTCCCAAAGTTGCAAACGTGTGGCATCGGCCTGAAGAGGCAGTGGTACCCCCTGAGCGATTGGCCCTGGTCCCCCTGACACTGCAAGAACTTCAAGGTCCCCGGCGGGGACATGACAGCCACATCACTCCACTTTTTGACGGTCAGGGCGTACACGAACGCGTTCAGCAAATCTGCAAACGCGCAGGGCAGAGAAAGGGAACAGCCGAGATGTTAGATGCTTCTAAAACCTTGGGTGTGTACAGTCCTGGGATTGAAAACGACCTGTGAGTGCATGTCGTGAAGAGGCTGGAGAATATGTCCCCTTCATCTGCCAGATGCGGCGTGACTTCCGACTCTTCGATAACCTCTCTGTAGAGCACACAGGAAAGTGTCCAACCGCTTCGATTCCTTTTGATGTGCTCCGTATGTACTCTTAGCGCGGCAATCAAAACGTGATTTACGACGAAGCCTGAGACGCCGGAAACTCCGGTCGGCGTTCCCTTGCCTTGTGGAGTTGTTGCGTTCATGAGGGTGCTGTGCACCAGGAAAATCGCCAACACATCAAACAACAACGGACGCAGATCAAGACAAAAAATCCAGAACTATACCACATAGTGGAGACGTTCGGGTTCAGCCTTGCTCCGTGTACTATAAAACAGAGTTAAGACTGCTGGGGAATACCAGTCCGGGTAGAATACAGCACTGTTGCCTGGAATCAATACCTACCCGCCGGTAGCGCCTGAACCAACTACACACAAAACGTTTGCTTAGTCCGGGGTCCAATACTGTCTACAGCAGCAGAACCGTTTTCAGCAGCCACTCACGAACGATGTTGGATCCCAATCCGCAGGGCCTCCAGTAGTACCGTTTCCGCCCCAAGTCGCACCCAACGTGCCCCGATGCGTACATCGCCTCCCACTCCCTCGAAAACAGCCTCGTCGAGTTGCCGTGGTGATGTCTCTCGTCCACGCTCCCAAGAACGTGTCCATCTGCGTGCGCCTCGACCCCTATGGTCGTCAGGTGCGGCGTTCCCGTCAGGGTGCGGAAATGTAACAGCAGGAGAAATATGATGGCGCTGCTTTTGAAACCCACCCTCCTTCTCCACAGCGCCATGATCCTTCCGCACGGGACACCCAGCAGGGGTCTGTTC